CTGTCCGAGCGGGCAGCAGCGGGGTTGCATCCGGGTGGCCTGAGTGCCTCCGGACTGGGCCGGGTGCTGCGGGTCACCTCCGGCTTCCTCCGGATCAGCCTCTGCGTGCTTTGAAACCAAGTTGCAGGTAAACTGACAACCGGCATTCAGGCCTTATTGCATGGAGAGCTTAAAGTAGTTCTTGATACTGTATTTAGTCACTCGTTTGGGGTTTTTTTAAGTGTATACAAGGAATATACACTCCTTTGTTTTGAAGAGCTAGATTTTTAGGTACTGTGACCCACGACGTGTGTGCTTTGGGGATTAAAGACCAAGATTTTGGAACATTTAAAACTACTTTGTTAAGTAGCCTTTTTGGCCTCCCTTCCTGCTCCCCCACCCCAAGCTTTAGTTTGGTCAGCTCTCTGACATACGGAATACTTTATTTTGGAAGTGTGGAGGGGTGTGTTCCTGGTTTGAACTTTTTACTTACATCCTTGTTTCTTTCCTGTTTCATTTTCAGCTGGATTTTGATGTTGATCACTTTGTATCAGACTGCAGGAAGCGTGTGCAGTTGGAAGAGCTCAGAGAGGATCTGGAGCTCTATTACAAACTCCTTAAAACTGCTATGGTAGAACTCATAAATAAGGACTATGCAGATTTTGTTAATCTCTCAACAAATCTAGTAAGTGTTATTAAATTGTGCTGTGTAGTTCAGACTTAATGTGGTTTTGTAGGATTTTTATTTTTCATATGACAAGTATGTGGCTTTTATTTTGGCATTGTCATCTTAAACTGTGACCCCCTGAGAGAAACTGAAAGAGAGTTCCTGTAGTATTTAGCTACTGTACAGAATTGCTGTTGGTCTGTAATAAATGATTTAGATGTATGGTTTTTGTCTTGAAAAACTAATTTACTAGGAAGTTAGGCTTCAGGCAACGTTTTTTTTTCAAACCACCAGTAGCTGTAAAATTGAAGGTAATAAATCATTAAAATAGAATAGCAATGATACAAATAAGGCCATTCTGAAGGATTCTTCTAGAAGTCTTTAAACTTACTGTGCAGTCAATACGTCTTAAGAAAACCAAAACAAAACAACAAAAAAAAACAACAAAAAAAACACAACAACGTACTTGACTGAAAATTGTAATAATTCTCATATTAAAGTGTCTTGCCCTCTGTGTCTTCTGCTCTTTCACTGCGGTTCATCCAGGGTCGAATAATACAGGTTCAAAAACTGAGATTTAGCATTTTTATGGGAAGAAAAATTTCCATAGGTCAAGATCTTATTTTAATTTTTTTTTTTGGCTTTGTGTGACAAGCAGTCTGATATCTTTATGTCTGTATGTGAGGTAACATATTTTTGCATTGCATTTAAAACTGGAGACTATAAGAGGGAGGTATCTTTTGTCGGTTCTCTTTTAGTATCTGTAAAGTGTTTTGTCAGTAATTCACATATGAACTTATAAAAAAAGTCATAAATGTTTTCATGGTAATTTCTTCAGGTTGGCATGGACAAGGCTCTTAATCAGCTTTCAGTACCCTTGGGACAGTTAAGGGAAGAAGTTATGGTATGCTCAAAACGATCATTGTACGCAGCTTGGTAAACTTCAGCTCATTTTCATATGTTGTACAGAATGTCTTTTGCTTATGTCACTAATTATTATAATAAACTTGAAAATTAATGGCTTAGAATGGTTGTGGGAGAAGCATTGTGTTTTCAATCAGTTGTAGTAGCCGTAAGTTTTCATAAAGATATACAAGATTACTTAAAAGTGATAAGTGAATGGACTCTTGCAAGTCAAGTCTATGGTGAAATACTGATACTGTTTCAATGTAACTTTTTAGTAAGTAGTAAATAACTCAGAAGCAACAGGGGCCCCTTAAGGACTTTTGTTTTCCTCAGTCCTGTGGTTTAACCACAGAAGATCACCCTCTTGAAGATGGGTCTTATTCTGTTTCTTCCACAGTGGCTTGATATTTAGCAGAGGGAAATTTTTGATCACCTTGGCAGCCACTTCAAAGGGATGTTTGCTGCATAAACATGCCTTCAAAATATCACAGCCTTGATGTCTAAAACAGACAATAGGTTCAGTTACCATAGAGAAATATTTATGATGGGGAAAAATGCAACTTAAATCTGACCTCTGTGTTCAGTCTCAAGACATCATATTGGTTTTATTGCCTGTTTCTGGGTGAAAGGTGGTTTGTTCTCAGTAAGAACACTTCTGATCAAAATAATGAAACTTCTGGTGGCAGGTTATACTTTCAGTTATTTAGTCTTATTTCTGGCTTTTTCACATAGAGGGCAGTGGATGTACTGTAGCTTTTATTACTCCTGTATCCCTAGTAATCCTTCTCCTGTTTTAAGTTGAGATTTTTGAGTTAAGGCTTTTTTAAACCTAAAGTGAGAAGTGACCTTTTACATAGTGACTTTCTCTCTCACAGAGTCTTAAGTCATGTGTCAGTGAAGGAATTCAGGCAGTAGATGACCGGATGACTAAACAAGAAGATATTAGAAGAAAAAAGGTATAACAGATAAATTATTACTTCTAAAAGATGCTCCTTAGGATGACTTTGGTTTTGCCACTAGCCCAGAGAAAAGAAAATTTAAAAAGTTCTGGGCTGTCTAGATGCACCCTGTGCAGGATTTGGTACCTGTAAAAATAGTTATTGACATTCTGGTTGGCAAACTTTATTTTTTTGTAGTGTTTAATTGATCATAAATACTTTATTTGCCAAAAACATACATTTTTTTATTTGGTTGACTTTTGTTTCTACTACAGTTGCTTGTGTTTCTGTTTGTAGCAGTATATAAACTTGCTTATTATGAATGTCATTGAAATGCTGTAATTTTAATTTTTATATGGGGGGACACATTAGCATTTGTCTTTGTGCTGAACTTGGGAAAATATCAGGGATAAGAACATCTGTTCTACGTCTGTGACAAAAATGTGTCTGTGGCATTTTATGGACTTACATAAGCAGTACTTCAACTGAGACATGGCTCGAGTGTTAAGATGAAGGGAGAAAACTTACATCAGTAAAAAAACCACAAACAAACCTAAAAAAACTATCCAAAATATCTTCAGGGTCATTAGATAATGTGAATTGGGATTGGGGTCAGCCATGAAAAATTTTTCTTTAATTACAGATGTGTGTCCTGAGACTTATTCACGTTATTCAGTCTGTTGAGAAAATTGAGAAGATCTTACATTCCCAAGGCAGTAAAGAATTGTCCTCATTAGAGGGAAACAGGTAAAAAATATGTAATACTCAGTTTTATTTGTAACTGATAGGACTAACTTCATTTCATGGTATTACTGTAGATGAGTTTACAAGCATTAGGATACATTTTTAGAAATGTAACTTTAATGGAATAAATGACTGTTATTTTAGTATTTTTGGAGTTTGTCTTCTGTAAACTGGTCAGTCACACACCATGTAACTCAGCCTTCACAGTGCTGAATTGCAGTGCTTTTAGTAAATGTGCTTTTTGAAGTTGCATGCAATAATTTACTTTTTCTTTCTTGGAAGTCACTAATCTTGTCATGTCTGAAATACTCTCTACACTACATTTTCTTCCAATATCATTTTCAAGTAAAATGGGAAATTGCTTTTCTTGTTTTCCCTGCTTATATGTAACTGCAAGGACTGCTGCAAGAATAGTCTAAGGCAGGCAAGCCATACATGTAAAACTGCTGGTGCAGGGAAGGTTTGTGACGAATTCCAACAGACTCACAAGTTTTGTTTTTAACAACTTCAGGGAAAGAAAGGTAGGACTGCTTCTTTAGAGATAGCTGTCACATAACAGAAAGGGGAAATAAGAAACAAATCTGGATGGTGAATAACACAGCAGTTTCTGTGCTCTGTAAGACTAACTTTTCATGTGACAATAAACAGCGTTGCCATATAGAAGACAGTGCTTCATGCTGGGGAAAGATCTTATGTTCCTCTCGCCTTTGGTTCACTCACTTCACGTCTTAGTAGCTCCAAAACAACTCTAGTCATGTTGTCTGTTCCAGATTATTATTGCATGATTGCAGTAATTGTAGTAGTACATATCAGGATACCAGACATTTAGATTAAACCACAAAAATTAGGGGAGAGTGTTACCTATTTGCTGCAGATGAAACAGTTGATTTGAAAGAGTCTGACTATGTATTCCATTTTGTATCCTCTTTTTCCAGCCCACTTTTAACAGGACAGGTTTTAGAGAGAATTGCCACAGAATTTAATCAACTACAATTTCATGCCGTACAAAGCAAAGGCATGCCCCTTTTGGACAAAGTGAGGCCAGTAAGTATTGCATGGTAGCCAACTTAGCACTTGCAGGGTCAAGCCAAACCAATGTAATTGAAAGACAAATGCATGTTTTGACAAAGTTTTATTAAATTAACTTATGGGTGAAAATGGGTTTCAAGAGGTAATTTTTGCCAGTCAAGTAGAAGTATTGCTTCTTCTGAGGATTTAGACTTTATTTCCTAACTTTAGGACAAATTACTTAGAATAAGAGTAGGAAATATGACTAATTTTTGTCAGCCTAATGTATCTTGCAGTTGCCTGTCTGATGATATTGAGGCCTAGTTATAGAGATATATGTTTGTTAGCTGCAGTGTACGTATCAGAATATAAATAGAATATTCCTGCAGAGTTGCTGGTTTGAATATATTCAAGTTTGTCTTTTGGTGAAATTTATTGCCAAACTCTGGCTGTTCAGCCTGGTACACTAATCTCTCTAATACTCTGTTCATCGTAACTACTGTCACAGATGAACTGATGTTTTGGTGGGGTTTTTTCTTCTATCCATTCATTGGGAAGAGGAAACAAATGAAAACTTGTGCTGAAAGGTAGATATTATGGAGACAGGGTAATGCTTTTAGCAGATTAGCCTGGAGTTGGCACTCTTGATGGCTTTTGAGATAGTGAGGTTGTTTGTAGTTCCATTTTTTTCATTATGTACATGTGCCTATTGGCAATATAAATATGTTTCAGCTCAAGGCTTCCATGGTGCCATGTTGATTCATGGACAGTTTACAAGACTGTTCTGGCCACCAAGTTAGCAGAGATGGATAATAACAGGAATAAGTGTGAGCAACAGAGGATTATTCATGGTGGGAGAACCTTTGTTACTTTGTTGTGTGGCTTCCTTAATGGTGCTTGCCAGGACTTCTGTCCTGTACTTTGTGTTGCTAAGGTCATCAGATCGTAGTTTCATGACTAGTCAGTGTTTGCGTTGCTGACTTGGCGTGTTCGGAACAAATTATGTGGAATAGTTTTAGGATGGATGGACACAACAGCATGCAAAAGGGCAGAGAATAATTTTAACTGGTTAAATTGGTAGTTCAGTTGTGATTACTAATGTGTGTTGCTGAACTTGCTTCAGATACAGAGTTCTGAGGACCGTCTTGGGCTAGGGGTATATCTGCAGGTAGGGTAGCAAGGAGTTGGATCTAGTGGAAAATATGTAGCAGGAGATCTGGAAAAAGGGTTAGCAGAAGAAATGTATGTTGACTGAAGCAGCTGTTTGGCAGAAGCCAGAGGGAATCTAATGACGTCATTTTTTTGTGCCAGTGTCAGTCAATGTCTTTGGTTTGCAGTAATTTGACAAGTAGTGCTGGGAACACACTGTCAGGTTTTGACAGTGAGGGATAAATGCTACAGTTGTTATCCCAGTGACTTACTGTAAAGCTATTGTGTATTATCACACATAGCGGT